CTTGGAAAAACAAATGCCATCCCTCCAAATGTCCTCCCCTTCCTTCTCACCCCAGCTTTATATGCTAAGCATGACCCCACATGGTCTGGGATATTCTGTGGGTCACCTGGGGTCAGCTGTCCTGGCTGTGTCCCCTCCCAAATCCTTGTGCACCCCCAGTCCATTCACTGGTGGGATGAGGGGCAGAAAAGGCTTTGACTCTGTGCAAGCCCCTCTCAGCAATAATGAAAACATCTCTGTGCTATTAACATCATTTGCAGCACAAATCCAAAACACAGCCCAAAACAGCTACTGCAAAGAAAATTAACTCTGCCTGAACCAAACCCAGCATGTTTGTACACAAACACATGAGAAACATTTGTACCACTGTGCCTTCAACTGAACTCAGAATAATTTACCTTTTCTGGATTTCCAAGGTGCTATTCCTGGGCTCTTCCCCCCCCCCCCCCCCCCCCCCTTTATTTCCCATTTGAATGTCAGCAGGTCAAAAAGGAACAGTTAATGCTGATGAATATTTCCCTCTCAGCAAAGATATGTGCTGGCCAGCCCAAGGCCAATGAATCGCAATTTCTAAACATTGTCCCATTTATCTCTCCCCTCCCCCTTCCTCCCCTCCTTGCTTTTATATTTTTGTAGCTATAATTGTAGTTAAATTAGAAATAACTGACGGGCAAATGCAGTCAGATGGAAAGAAAATTGTGGGAGATTTATTTTATTTTGATAAAAAACTGACATTGCCTTTTGTTTTTGTCAGAAAGAGACTCTATTTTTCCTTGTGCCATGAATTGTGGAATCTATCACGAAATGGGTAAAAATTATTGAAGCAAATGGTGGTGTTAACCTGAAGGGGAAAATCATTAATGTTGATGTATTTCATTCAATTTTAAATGTAGAATTTATTTTATTTTATTTATTTGGCATTGGGGAACAAGGGAAAAGGCAGGAGACTTGTAAAGGACTCTATGTGCCTTTAAGTCAGAACATCTGTTTTAAAAAATGCTCTTCTCTCCTTCCACCTCTCTCCATTTTTCTAAATAAAGGATATGATGTGGTGATGGTGGTAGTGGTGGAGGTTTTTTCCCTAAGCAAAGAGGGCCCCCTTGGCGCATTATTCTTTTCAAATGTGAAATGAGGTGGAAAATCCTCATTTCACGACAGGAAGGACAAATATTGACACAAAGTTAATATTTGTCAGGAGCCCTAGAAGCAACCTGAGTGCTAAAATCTCATCTAGATATATGTACTGGTATGTTTATGTATATAAATAAATAATAAATTTGCCTTGATGATGGGTGGAACCTGCAGAAATCAAAGTCTGCTCGCTGAGGTGGAGGAATTATCTGCAGAGGGTGAACACACACACACATTCCATGTATCATTTCTCTCTCTTCTTGTGTGGAGCAGGACAAACAGGTGAATTCTTGAGCCCAAAGGACATGTGTCCCCTTCCTCTGCCTGGGTACACAAGAACCCAGCATGAAGTTCAACAATATGTGAATATCTTCTCTATCTTTCCCACATGTTTTTAAGGACTATGGTTGACTCTTTTTCCCCTGTTTTTTTCTCCCTCTCACACACATGTGTGTGTATGCAAACACACACAAATAGAACCTGTGTAATCCAATTTCACCCATGGCAGGGGGATGCTTCTGGAATTTATCACTGCTATTGTTCATCACCAATGTAAATAGCACATGTCAGCTCAATATTCAGTGGTCACTCAGCATTTATTAAGTCCTGTCCACTCTGGCCTTTTTTAGAGGAAAGCCCTGGGGCAGATAAGCTGCTGGCCGTGACACGCAGCGTCACTTATCTGTTCGCATTGATTATCAGAGTCAGCTGTGGCCAGGACTCACTTTTTTCTTCTCCTCTAAGACCCCCTCTTACAAGCACCCCTGCTTGGATTTTCATGAGGAAATAATCAGATTAGGGCTTCAGTGGCGAGTTCATATGGAGTTCTCTTTCTCCAATGTGCTACTAACCGAATAAACGTGTTTTGTGGTAAATTGTAAATGACATTATGATTACTAAGGCCAGCGTGGGTTTCATTTAAAAGTGATCGAAATTGCAGGCTGCAGAAATTGTGACTGGCAGATAAGGCCATTTGGAAGAAGACAAGCAACGATGTGTGTGTGTGTGCATGGGTGTGAGTGTGTGCAGGAAAACAAGCCAGCCCCCTTTGCAGGGCAGGCGGGGCTAAGGAAAGTTCTGAGAAATCACGAAATATCATCAAATCCCATTTGTAGACATGAGAAATGTCACCAGGGGGAGATGGGGTGTTTCCAGGATAGCGGTGGATGAGATGTGTCAGCCTTTGTGGGCAGGCTGCTGGCGGCACAGCGCATCCCCCCAACGCTCCGGGACAATTCCAGTGTCTCTGAGCACAGCATTTCCACTTCTGTTGTGAACAGAGCTGTCCCTCACCCTTTTTTTGCCTCCAGCACAAACTGACAGCAAAATACTACAGCAAAATGTTTACACTGAAAAGCAAAAAAAAAAACCCAAAAACCAAAAAACAAAACAAAACAAAACAAAAAAAAAAAAGAAAAAAAAAAAGAAAAAAAAACCAACAAAAAAACACCACAAAAAAAAAAAAAAACAGGGAAAATCCCATCTCACTTGGACATCCTCCCTAAGCAGAGCTCAACATTTATGTAATTCCATTGCTTCCCTCAGGGACGTGCAGAGGGAGAGCTCATTCTGGGGAAGGTTCACAGACCATGGGCTGCACATGATGATTCCCCTGGAAATACATAGTAGGTGAGAACCCACAGGATCCAGGCTTTGAGATGTAGCTAAAGGCAGAGCCCAGAATTATTTAATGGAATCCCAGAATGGCTTGGGTTGGAAGCAACCTTAAAGATCATCCGGTTCCAACACTTCTACCATGGGCAGGGACACCTTCCACTGTACTACATTGCTCAGAGCCCCATCCAACATTTCTCATAGTTAATTTCTTTTTTAGAAGTCTGCTACTTTTATCTAGCAGAGGTTTTCACATAATGTGTCCTTGATAAGGGATGTCCTTTTGCCCTAATATCTTCTCAGTCATCATAAACTAGAAGTTTGTGACTCTCAAGGATGTTTCTGTCCCTTATTTTTCATGTGACTTGAATACATGACCCCAAGTGCTGAATGAGGAGCACAGAATTGGTTTGGATATTGGCCATGCTTTGCCCAACACGTTTGTGAGCACAGCTGACTAAGGAAGGAGCAGGCTAGGTGAGGGAAGGAGAATTCTAGCTGACTACAGCAGCAAATTCCTCCTTTGATTTTATTTTGAAGAGAGGAAGGAAAAACAGAAACATACATCTTTTTCTAAGATGCTTCAGGCAGAAATGTTTATGGTTTTGGTGCCTGTATCTGAACTCATATACTTTTAGTCTCTCTTCATAATCAGTGGTGATCTCATTGTTACAGCCTGAGGCACAATTTCTCTCATCTTAAAGCAGAGACCTGTATTTAGTCAGATGGAGCACACCGTAAACTTATAGCACCATTCAGGACTTTTGACAAAGGTATGGAGTGGCAGCACAAGGGGGAATGGCATCAAACTAACAGGGGTAGGGTTAAATTTGGTATTGCAAAGAAATTCGTTACTGTGAGGATGTTGAGGCATTGGTTGCCCAGAGAAGCTGTGGATTTCCCATCCCTGGAATTGTTCAGGGTCAGGTGGGAAGGGGGCCTGAGCAACCTGGTCTAGTGGAAGGTGGTCCTTTGCAGGAGGGTTGGAACTAGATGGTATTTAAGGTCCAACCTTACAACCCAAACCGTTCTGTGAGTCTATGATTCTAACTCAGAAGACTGTGCAGATTACATCTCTTCTCTCTAGAGCCTTTCATAAAAGGATCCTCTTGACTTCTCTGCAGAGGCACTTGGGAAGGGATTTAGTGGAAAATCCTGAGAAGTGTGTAACGATCTTCACCCCTGTTACATTCAGTGAAAGAACAAAGTGTTATTTAAAGTGACTTTTGCACTCCCATTCATTGTGTGTTACACCTACAGATGTTGCAGCTATCAAAAGAAGTCCAGGTGACACTCTGCACTTGTGTTTAAGTGACAGGATCCCACCTCTGGTCAATAAAATTATAGGATTGTAAAATGTAATCCAGATGACTGAACAGAAGTATTTTAGCGTAAATTTCACTGGTTTTAAACTGCTTTGAATAGATGACTGGGGAATTGGGTGTGTTTCAGTCACACAAATGTGTGTTTAGAGTAATTTCTGGTGCTGTGGGGTGTCCTTGCAAGGCATATGTCTTCTATTGACCCTGTGTCACATGTCTCAGGTATCTCAAGACATCCCAAACAAATCTAGAACCTGCCTGTGAGCAAATGGTTGAGATTCCAGATCTCAACGGACTGCTGTGGGAGTTTGGAATTTGGAACACATGTGAGAGTGTCCTATATTTTTAGGTATCTGAACCTGATGGGTTCTTCCAGCTTCTCACTTGATGAGGTGGTTCATCACTGGAGTAGATTAATGATGTTCTGGTCCTTTCTAATGTTTTCTGTTTGAAGTGCAGTCTCTGTGAGTGGGATGAGACAGCATTTTGTTGGGTTAAATTATCATTTCAAAGACTTGCAGTCATTTCCTGATTCATCACCCTGCTACAGGCTTGGGACCAGGGAAAATGTAGAAGGCACAAGGACATGGGGACAAAGTGCTGGGTCAGACAAAAAGTTTGTCTTGCATGTATGCTCTTTCAATGGATACTGCAGTTTTATATGTAGAAAGAACAAGGTAGGTGCAGATGATGCCTCTCTGTCATTTGTTTTCAGTCCTCAAAATCTTCAATTCCAGGACATCTAGAGGTAGATGCAGTTTTTACCTATTTAATATCCCTCAGTGTCCAGGCTTCTCTTAAAACTATGCAAAATTTTAACACTGACAAAGTGACTTTAAATTTGGAATGGGAAAACAAAGAGCTATTAAAAAAAATTGATATGATGTCTGAAACAATTTTTTTTTTTCCCCATCTCCCTTTATTCTCTTCCAGGAATTTACAGAGATGACAGTAAGTGCCTCTTCAAGCCCTCAGTACAAGGCTACTTCTGCAAACAGACAGATCATGCACTTGTCATCTTAGAAAACTTGGATTCCAGCGTGGACAGCCAGAGGCTGTTCCCAGTGGTTACAATGACTGGAAGCTTTATGGACACCTTCACTGATGAGACCTCACTTTCTTTGTGTCACCCTGAAGAGCATCGTTCTGCTTTCTTCTCTGTTCTGCCCTCCACCAAACTCACCACGGTTTGCTTCCCAGACCTGGCACCTCTGGCTTTCCGACTTTATCTTCTCAGTGGCCAAAACACAACCAGGCTGCCCCTCGCCATATTCTTCACTGAACCACTCAGCCTTCGTGTTTTCATCCAAGGGAATTATGTCTCTCCAACCCCATCTTCTTTTTCACTGAATGCAGGGGCAGGAGCCAATTACTTCAGCTTTGAGGACAACCTTCTCTATGTTCTCCTCCATGAGAAGGAACCTGTGGAAATAGTTGCTGGCCTTTCCCTTCTTGTGGCTTTCACTGTAACTGAGGCTGCTGGGGAAGCGAGTGAGGCAACCATAATACGTCGATTGGCTGATTTCTTGAAGATTGGTCATGACCAAGTCAGAGTGGTCTATAACGTGCTGGGAAGTGAAAGCACGTTGCAGGTAATCTCAGCCAATGCCAGCAAAAAGAGATATCACTGCCCTAACATGGCCTTTTGCACAGCCTTTCAGAGCAGGTACAGCCCACAGGAAGAGGGGACACAGCCAGGGAGCACCCGGGCTGTGCATCCACCTGATGGGGCTGGTCCATCAAGAGTGCTGATCATTGAGCTTGGTGATCTGCCGGGTCATCCAAGAAACGAGTTAACAAGTGACAGCCTAAAGAGTTTGGCCAGAACAATTATCAACACTCATCAGACTGGAGACCTTCAGAGTGGCCTTGGCTTGCCAGTTGACACCCTAATGGTGACTCAGTCTGCTTTGCTGTCCCCAAGAGAAGGTAACAGTAGGTAAGTAGCAGATGTATCATCACCAGATACTGATTGAAGTGTAGCGAGGTACTTTATCCACTTGATGTACTTATTAAGTTCTCCATTGACTGGAATATGACTAACCATGCTGGAACATGTTATAAAGTTTCCATGACTTGTCCAGAGAAGCTGTGGGTGCCCCATCCCTGGAAGTGTCCAAGGCCGAGTTGGAAAAGGCTTGGACCTGGTCTTGGACCAGGTCTTTTGGAAGATATCCTTGCCCATGGCAGGGGCTGGAATGTGATCACCTTTAAGGTCCCTTCCAACCCAGACCACTCCATGATTCTGTGATGTCAGAGCTATACCAGCTGGATTCCCAACCATCAATTACCATGTTTTTCTGTTGGTGCTTATGAGTCTCTGGAATGCAGAGATGTCAGTGATGCCTTAAATGAGGAACAGAGTTCCTGGAAGTCTGCCTTGAAACTATAAAGAACTGGGTTAATTCATGTTATCATAGCTCTTAAATTCTAAGCAATTAAATCTATGAATGTTTATAAATTGATGTGGCACCAGGGATGTGTTATTGAAGATGGGTTGTTGCCTTAACAATCTTGAAGATCTAAACATTTATTAATGTACTTTTAAAATTTAAGGCAACAAAAATCTGTTTAATCTTTTACTTCAATATCCTGCAGGACACAAACCACTATTCTCCACCTTGATACCTTAGTGTCAACTTTTATTTTTACCTAAAATTCTAGAAATCCATCTGATCTTCATGATACAGGAGCTGGACACATCCAATACTACCTGAACATGTGCCTAGGTGTTGGATCCTATTCCTGTTCTTTCTGTCACAAATACTTGTCCATTTCCTCTTGTCAGCCTTTACCTCCAGATTCCCAGGAGAGCTCCTGGTTTCTTTTCTCCACTTTTACATCAGTAGCTTTCTGGGCATTGATTCTTCCTCCTCCAGATACCTTCAAAGTAATCAAATCACCTCACTGTCTGCTTTGGAAAAAAAACCAACTATTTGAGTTCTGTTGAGTCTTTCTTTCTTTCTCTATCTCTGTTTTCTGAATCTGTTTGGAAGTGGGCATGACTGAAAGTCAAGGTTTCCTTCTTGGTGGATTCCTCAGCTTTGGCATTTTTAAAATTCAGCCGCGCAGGGTGCTGGGCCACCTTGACAAGACCATGACTTTTCCAAGAAAGGTTGGACCACAGGATCATTGAGGTCACTCCCAACCTGGCATTCTATGATTGTATGGAATCGGTGCCAAATGCAAAAGTGGTGTTAAATTCCATTTTCTACTGGCACAATTCAATGATTCCATTAGCCCATTCTTCCACAGAAACAGGAGAGCTTATGGTCATCTCTTTGCTCACTGTATTCTTTATTTCCTTTTCAGTTCTGACTTTCCAGAACCCAGTTCCCTCTGTTTGCCCAGATTCTACATCTCACATGATCTGGACCCCCATGTTTGACTTTTCTGTTGGTAATTTATCAGCCCACAAAACCATGCATTTTATCAGCAGTGGCTTTATATTTGTATCTCCTTCCAGGTACAGAAACAGACCTGCATCTCATTTTGACAGAAGAATACACGATACTCTTTTGCTTTACAATAATTTCCCCCTGGAGCTCCCTTTTGAGCTCTGCCAGTTGAAGAGTTCTTGGTCAGTTTTGTACATACTAAATTTTATTGATATTCGATACCAAGACTCACTTTTTGAAGGTCTTTTTTTCCCTCTCCTCCATAGAAACAAGCAATCCTTTCTCTCCCTCCTTCCTCTGTCCTATCTTCGTCTTTTCAGCCTCATACTGCCACTATTTACACAGCCCAGATGTCAGCCCTTATCTGCAGAGGAGGCTGTGAAGACCAGGGCTGGGATGGGAGCAGACAGCAGTGTATTTCAGCATCAGATCCTGAAACGGTATTAAAAGCATATGGGTAATATGAAAAAGGTAATATCCCATCTGTTTTTAATAGGGGACATAGGATTTGGTGTTTGGCAATCTTATTGTGTACTCTCTTGATATTGCATAATGTTATTTTTTGATGTTGTGCACTACTGAGGCTTATCCAAGTATAAGTATATTCCATATATTCCATCTATGAAAGGAAGAAATTTGATTTGTCTAAGACTTATCCTCTGAAATTAATACCACATCCTCTCCCATTTGCTGCTGACCCATGAACCATCCTGATGTCTGCCAGTGACACAAACTCTGTTCACATGCTTAACTTTTCTAGTAGACACTGTGTGGTTTGTGGTGGAAAAGGACCCAGAAGGAGGACAATGATCTGTGACTGCAGGAATCTTTGTTTAGTTGTTTTGGTTTTGGTTTGTTGGTTTCAGCTGGAGGTGGTTTTTTGTTTGTTTGTTTGTTTATTTGGGTTTTTGGGGGGGAGGATTTTATTTTTGATTTCTTTTGGGTTGGGTGGGTTTTTTGTTTTGTTTTGGTTTTTTTTTTTGTTTTGTTTTGTTTTGCTTTGCTCTTGTGCTTTTGCTTTTGGGGTTTTGTTGGTTTTTTTGTGGCGTTGCATTAAGCTCAATGAGGAATTCTTAAGTGCAAGATCAGATCTTAAATCAGGGCCAATTCTGAAGATATACTGCATTTTGGATCAGCACCTCACTGTTGTGCGTGGGGCTGTTTGCGTTACACTGAATGGCACTGCAAAATGGGACAGCAGAAAAATTATGTGGGAAATTTTACAGTGGGTGGTGAGGCCCGGGCACAGGTTGCGCAGAGCAGCTGTGGCTGCTTCTTGATCCCTGGTAGTGTCCTAGGCCAGGCTGGATGGGTCTTGGAGCAACCTGGGATAGTGGAAGTTGTCCTTGCCCATGGAAGGGGGTGGAACTGGATAATCTTTAAGATCCCTTCCAGCCCAAGGCATTCCATGATTTACACGATCCCGAGACACAATCCCAAGAGACCATTTAAAGCAGGGAAGCACCATCTTCTGTGTGCCAGCAAGGAAACCTCAAGGCTGCCTTTTTTCAGGCAGAAGTGACATCTCTACACTGTGACTGCTCTCCCGGCTGTGTTTTGTCTTCCTGTCTGTGAACACTCTGTGAAAAGATTCCAAGCAGTAAGGATCAGGAGAGTTCCCTAGGATGGAGGATGTTTTACTACAGACACAAGAGCAGTGCTAGCCTAAAGCCTTGGAGTCACTGTCCCAGTTATGGGAAGACCTGGGATCTTTATTGAAGAGAACACTCACATCACCAGATCATAGGACTGGCTTAGAACTCACCCACCCTCAGCTGCTCGGGCTCCTCTGCACTGTTATTTATTGCTCCCCATCAGTCATAGCTTTTCTGGAATTACTCATGGCTGACATTTCCGATGCAATAAAGCCACAGATAACCTGTGAAATGAAATCAGGGTTTTCCTGTTGGGACATGTACTGTCCCCACTGTCTATCTGTCTCCATTTAAGCAGCACATGCTGGCACAGGCACAGATAATAGGACTGGGGTTACAAGTCAGACAAAATATTCCAGTGTATTTTTTTGTGGAAGGAAAAGAGGAATATTTTCACACCTGAGCCATGCAAAACCCAGTTGGACCATCAGAAATACACAGAACCTGCACTCCTCCAGGCCCATCTCCTTGGGCTTTCAGACCAGGGAATTGTTCTGCATCACTATCATGCTCAATGACTCTCTGAAACGAGGTTGGAGCCAGGGGAAGGTCAGTCTCCTCTCCCAGGTAACAAGCAGCAGGATAAGAAAAAACACTCTAGCTGCAAAAATCTCCCACCAGGGGAGGTTTATGCTGGATATTAGAGAAAAATATCTTTCACTGAAAGAGTGGTTAGGCATTGGGACAGGCTGCCCAGGGCAGGGGTGGAGTCAGCACCCCTGGAAGTGTTCAAGAGGTGAATGAATGAGACATTTGGGGACATGGTTTGGAGGTCAACACAGTGGTACTGGGTTAATGGCTGGACTAAACAGTATTAGAGGTAGTTCCCAACCTTAATGATTTTATGGTTTTGTAACACAACAATGACTACAAAAAGATCTTTAATCGGCACAGACTGGATGTTCATTTGCAGCCCAGGACAGTGAGGCTGAAGGGGAGCCTTGGAAACTCTGCTGTGGTAAGGTATGAGTCAATAGGTCTGTATATCACACTGCCAAGCCTTCAAAAAATATGACTTGTCTGTTATGATTTGAAGTGCTTTTATACATGATTTTAATTTAACTCCTTTGTTAGGGTTACTTCAAGCACGGCTCATTAATTTGTCAAGAGAAGACAGAGGTGATTGCTGTGACTGCTATAGTCTTGCACAGCTGGAGAGTCAGAGATGTCTATCACACAGTTTATCTTCCAGTAAAATGCCTGTGTATAATAGATACTGCAATGTATTTACAGGTAGAAATCCCTGTTTTGCAAAATCTTCCTAATATCAATATAAATAGGAAAGAACAAGAAGCACAGTGATGAATATATTGTGTGTCTTTGTGCAGGTGCCTTTATGCAAAATCAGGAATGTAATTCTGGGCAGTTGTCCAGAAGCCATTTAGTCCCTATCCCCCCACTACTGCAGGTGCTTTGCTCCTTCTTGATTGACCTTTAACTGGACACAAACTGAAATTTTTTTTTGTGAGTTATGTTTGAGGTAGCATATGAAAAATGGTGCTTGTTCAGGAAATTTCAGGCTCACAGCAAGGAATAAAAAGGAAGCAAATTATCAAAGAATGGCATATTCCAACAGTACTTCCCATGCAGAGCACTAAATGAGATATTACAACTAATTCCCTGCGTCACACAGCACATATGCAGGCAGCAGGGCTGGAGTTCAAACTAGATAAATTCTGACTCCTCCTAACCTCAAAGTTTTTGTATTTGGGTAACTTTTATACAGGTTTCAGACAGTCTGCTGTGTGGAATTGCACAGGGTTTTATAAAAAAAGAGAGACTTGACAGCTTTTTTCCTGCATAAGTATACGTATTTTTCCTCCAGTGATCAGGCAAAGGCAGGATGCTAAAAATCTCCATGTCAAAAGCTGCAGATATTGTAGCAC